GTCCGAGTACCGGCTCGGCCGCCGGTCCGTCGCCGGGAAAATTTTCCGGCCAGTTTTCCGGCGACCCGATTTTTTTTTTCTCGGAGGGAATCGTCCGTGGCTCGATTGTTTTCGCGCTTGTGCGGCTTTGGCTCGGTTTTGTCCGTCTCTAACAGTTCTTTCCCTTCGGGAAACTGAATAGTTCTACGATTGACATTATCGGGTTTACTGACGTTCGGCGTATGAGTGGCGTTCGGATAGCTAGTGTTTGTAGGCTCCATGCTCGCGCATCCAACTACATACCTACTATCCGCCTCGGTTTCTTTCACGGGCATTTATTTCCTCGATGGACGGATCCGGGGCCGGTGTTGCGTACCTAACAGAAGGGAATTGTTGAGTTTGGCTTCCTCCGTTGTTCGCGGTTTCTGCTTGGCTGGGATGTCGCGAACACACAAGCCGGCACTTGTGATCCTCGCACCTTGGCATCGAACGATGCCTTGATCGCATAGGTGAATGAGCTGTCGGCTGAACTCTCGGATGCGGAACGGTTATTGACGGTGAGTGAAGCAATTCGGTCCCGCCATAGCTCGTTTGTCCCACGGACAGAAGATGACGGTCAAGTCCTTGTTCCTTCTTGCCTGCGTCGGGTTTTGCGTGAATGTCGGAGTTGTTGCTTTCGCCGGGTTCACTATGATCGCCAGAGTTGTTGCTTGCGCCGGGTTCGCATGAACGTCAGACCCTTTTATGCTTGGTTTTGCATGAACGTCAGAGCTCCGCTCCTTGGTTGGCATGAACGTCAGAACTCCGCTCCTTGGCTTTTGCCTAGCGCCGGCGGTAGTGCGTGCGTTCTTGTTTGCCTAGCGCCGGGGGAGCGCGTGCGTTCTTGTTTTGCCTTGCAGCGAAGCGGATGAAGGCGTTCTTGTTAGCCTATAGCGTCGGCAAAAATGCGCGCGCTCTTGTGTGCCTAGCGTCGGCGAAAATGCGCGCTTTCATGCTTAGCCCATCGTCCGCGAGATGGTTCGGGGAGTTGCGTGATTAACGAATGCTACCTGGTTGATCCTGCCAGTAGTCATATGCTTGTCTCAAAGATTAAGCCATGCATGTGTAAGTATGAACGAATTCAGACTGTGAAACTGCGAATGGCTCATTAAATCAGTTATAGTTTGTTTGATGGTAACTACTACTCGGATAACCGTAGT